AATTTGGAGAATGTATCAGAACTTTTTAACTATCTATCACTTTTTCACCAGCCATCCCACAATCCTCTGGGGGGCCCTCCCCCTCCCCTTCCCCCTGTCCTCAGGCAAACCCCTTTCCCGTTGGGATCACCCCCTGCCTTTCCTGTCTCCCCCTTTCCTCTCATTCTCCCATCAAACCATCTTCTGCTGCGTGATCTCCCACCACCTCTGCCAAGCTGTCCGACATGTCTGGACCCGTGCCAAGCCGGGCACGAGTGTACACGGAGGTCAACACTCATCGGCCGAGGGAGTACTGGGACTATGAGTCCCATGTGGTTGAATGGGGGTAAATACCTTGGTGGCATCAGTTTTGTCATTATGCCTGTCAGCAAGAGCCCTATAATTTTTCTGATTTATAACATGTTTTCTGTAAAGGAACCAGGATGACTTTCAGCTGGTACGCAAGTTAGGACGTGGAAAGTACAGTGAAGTCTTCGAGGCGATTAACATAACTAATAACGAGAAGGTGGTAGTTAAGATCCTCAAGGTACATCTACGCACCATGACCAACCCTGAACATGACCCACTCTGTAAATTATTAGACATCTTCTCTTCAGTGTCATTTGTCTCATCATGTTTTGTCTGTTTCTTTAGCCTGTGAAGAAAAAGAAAATCAAGCGTGAAATCAAGATTTTAGAAAATTTGCGTGGAGGTCCTAACATCATTTCCCTCGTCGACATYGTAAAAGACCCTGTAGTAAGTATTGTCTTTGTGAGACCATTGAGTTACTTGAATATTTATTTAAATTAGACATTTTTAGCTTAAACTTTAAACTGTTGTAAAGTTCTGAAATCTGATTGCTGTACTGATAGCATGGCGGTCCTTCCAGCTGTGTCAGCTTGTTGATTACGCTTGGTCTTGGGAATTATGTTTTTGTAAGTACTCTAGTAATACTGGCCTGCCTATGGCTAGGTGCTTGTGCATGTAGTTTTTACAGTATTAATGTGTYGGGACTCTCCCTAAAAACAGTTCAACATGACACATCAGTGTATGAATGTGATTGGCACTGACTAGTCTCCATAGTTGACTGTACATGTTAGCTCTGTAGGAGATCTAGCAGAGTGCTGTGTGAATGGATAAATAAGGACACAGATTGTAGTGTGAAGCGCTTTGAGTATCCTGGTTGAGTAGAAAGATGCTAAACAAGTACAGTCCATTTACCGTTTACACAATAAGGATGAGATGGTAAATACAAAAATAAAATGTGTCAGTAATACAAGTTTACCATAAAAACAGAGCAACTTTCTGGTCCCGATCAAAGGCTACGTTCACACTGCAGGCAAATGCGACCCAAATCCGATTTTTGTTTTTGCCCCTTGTGACCCATATCCGTTTTTTATGACAGTCTGAACACGACAAATCTGATTTATTTCARATCCAACCCAGGCCGTTTCAGTATGTGGTTCTAAATCGGATACATATCTGATGTTTTCAAAGCGACTTCAGTGTGAACGCTCATGTCACATTCCACCGGACTTATCTTCAGAAGCTGCAGTTAGCAGAAACTTGAAGCCAGAGTTTCTTAAATGTGTCCAGAAGGTCCGGGAGTTTATATTATTATTAATTCAACTTGAACGGTGCAGTTTTAGCTAACCTCTGATTACGAGCTGATGAGCGGCCCAAGATAGGTCCGCTCGCTGAGCTTCACTCTAACTCCGGCAGAAGCAGTGGGTCGAGTGGGTGGAGTTTAAACACAATCTCTATGTGTTTTTATTATCAGTCGGATCACACACCGGCTGACAGGTGAGGAGCAGAGCCAGCTGCTCCAAGCTGAGGTGTTTTTATTTATTTATTTATTTTCTTCCCGGTTTT